TTCTAATAAATAGTCTAACTTAAGACACAAGATTAATATGTTAAGACAATGAGAAGAAGTTGGAGAAGCCTCAAGAATCAAGGAGAGTAAACCAATTATAAAGCTACTAGGTTGTGCCAGAAAACTACCAGAGTGATTTGAACTAAAGCAAGGGCAACAAGGACGGCTTGCAATTGAAAAGTTCAAGACTGACAAGTGGAACTCAGCCAAACTGTTGCTGGTGATAAGAAAAGGAGAGAGGAGTAATGACAAAGGCAACCCTGGTGTGATAGTGCACATCTGTAACCCAGCACTCAGAGGCTCGGACAGAAGGGTCACATAATCAAGCCCAGCCTCTCAATGTGATGAACTATTGAGACACTGTCTCACATTTAAAAATAATAATAACAACAACAGTAAAAGGACTGAGGGTGTTTCTCTGCAAGAGCCCAGGGTTCAAATCCTAGCACCACAAAAAGATGAAACAATCAATTTAAAAATGAAAAGTGAACAAGTTACTGCCTCAAGTTTCTTTTTTGTCTTCAGCAGTCATGAAGTAACCACTAGTGTACTAGAAAGAAACATCATAAATAAATAATACAGGTATTCATCTTGCTCAGAATCAATGATCCTTGATACTAATCTAGCTAAGAATGATAGACTGGAACTCTTCACAAGTTTTCTATGAACTCTTACAGGGTTTTAGAGACAATATGCCATGATTACAGAAGATTCTTGATAAAGAGCTGTGCTTAAACCATTTACTTGTGTGGTCAGAGCCTATGAAACATGGGATTTTATTAGCTCCTCTCAAGCTGGATAAAAAAGAATTCATTGATATTGACGACTTAGCAATTTTAACAATCATCGCTGATGTTTAGTGATGGCTACAGAAGACAGTTGTGATTTCAAAAGAACAGACTTTCAGTGGTGTTCATCGTGGTGCAGCTGCAACACCTTCCAGGTCTCAAGCCTCTCCATCTTCACTTAGATGCTTATTGTCAAAACCTGTAATGAGAGGCTGGAGATTTAGCTCAGTAGCACAGTTCCTACCTGGTAGGTGTGAGGTTGTGAGTTCGATTCCTGGTACTGGAAAAAAAAAACCTGTAATGAGTGCAGGAGGAAAAATTTATTCTGTTTTCCTGTCATATAAGACAAGACATACAGAAATGGATGCTGGAAATGTTCATTAATAAGACATAGGTTATCAGCATTGTATAGTTGGATTGGCTAAATCTATTGTGATTAAGGACTGTCATCATAAAGGTAATTTGCACTTAAAGGCAGGCAACCAGCCAAAGGTCCATACTCCTACGTGCATTTGAAGGGCTTAAAATAAAGAAAGAAAAGTGTTTTGGTAACTTTTCTCTTATTGCTGAGACAAAATACCTGACACCTAGAATTAAGGAAGGAAAGGTTTATTTATCTCACTGTTTGTGGAGGTTTCAGTCCATACTTGGCTGACTCCAATGCAGAGTGGCACATGGTAGAGGACAACAGTTCATGGCAGCAGAAGACAGCAAAAACAAGAAGAGGGAAAAGGGAGGAGCAGTGGCAAGCAGCCTCCTTCCCTTCCTTACACTGTATGCAAACTACCCACCCCAGGATGGGTGTAACACTCACATCCATAATCCCAGCATTGGTCTACAGATCAATCAAAAATCTAGAATAGAAGCCCACCCCATGATTGCATGAGGACTTGGGGGGACATGCAGTCATAAACTATAACAAAGAAACACTATTGGTATGTGGAAATGCTTAATGTGTCCTTCTATCACTCTGTGTGCGTGTGTGTGTGTGTGTGTGTGTGTGTGTGTGTGTGTGTGCATGTAGAAAATAAAAGTAAAGGAAAAGCTCCACGTGGAGGTCTGTTTGCTCCCTTATTTTTCATTTGTGTGAACTATATGATATTCAATAATACGAAGTTCAATCCATCTCTGAGCTTCTACGAGGAATCCATAGAAATAGAAACATCATAAAATTTTGCTTGGTGACATTTCCTCAAATATTTGGCTCAAATGATCAAACAAGCTATGTCAGACATTTACATGGCTCAGTGGAGTGTAACATTGCTGATTTCAGAGAAGAGATTTCCTGTAAACATTTCTAACATAGATAGCAGTAACACTGAGTGGAGAACATATGGAAGAGTGGGAGAAACAGCATGGGATAGAAACCAGAAGCAAATATCCATAGGGGATGAGAAAAAGCTCTCGTCATCTCGTGCCACCTGTTCTCAGGTCTACCATGGTCTGATATCTGAGAGGGATTATGTCTTTGGCGTGCTGCACCATTCCTGATGGTGCTCTTCAGACAGGGCCTCAATGACTACTTTCTCTAAAAGAGTCTATTGTCTCCTGCAGGGACTGTGTCCTCCTTGATTATTGCCTTTCCTCTCAATAATTCCTGCTCTATTTCTTTGCTCAATTCTTCTTTACCTCTAGACTGGCATTGATGTTCAGTGGCTGCACGGCAAGATGATTTTTATCTATAAATGCTTCTCTAGAGTCTTGAACAATGATTGACATGTAAAAGGTTCCTAGTAAATACTTATTGAACTAACAAATTATGTCAGAATGAAGAATTTGTTTCAGTAATGGATGTTGCAATGTAATAGGTTGACTTCAAAATAAGAGAACAAGGCAATTATCTATGAAGTAAAAAAAATGTAGCCCTCTCTTATGAAAGTGTTAAGGCCCACACTGAAGATAACTTTCCATAGATTGATTGACTGAGAGATCTATTAATTAATTCATTCATTCATGCATTCGTTTGTTTGAGATACAGAGGACTGAACCCAGGCGCTTAACACTGAACGCCTGTGTTGTGTTCCTCAGTGTTTCCTCATCCCCATCATCATTCTCTGTTTTTTGTTGCTTTTTTTGTTGTTGCTATAGTTTTGTTTTGTTGAAATACATTCTTGCTAAGTCTCTAAACTGCCCACGGTGGGCTTCGTCTCCCAGTCCTCCTGTCTTAGCCTCCCAGAGTGTTGGGACTACAAATCCATATTTAGAAACAATTTGGAAGTAAGTTGAAAAAATAAAGAAACTGATTTCAAATATTCCTTCCACAGTATGATAAACACATAACACACAATACAAAACCAATCTCTATACTTTGGTTTCTGTGAGGGTTGGGACTGCATCACGTTCATTTCTATACTTCCAGGGATATGAAGGCTCAAATGCAGTAAATGGAAGTCATTTTGGATATTGCAAACCATATTGTGTCTTTATCAGAGCCAGAGGTAGGAGACAGAACCAGGAATTTAAACAGGGAGTCAATGCTGTTAACTATGGTGATTAACCAATGGTGAACGTGGCTAACGATTGATGTGGTGGAAGGGAATTCAAAGGTGTAAAGAAATAAGAACTGCAGAGAGCAGCTGCCTCCCATGATTGGTGAGAAAAATGGGAATAAACAGAGACTAAGAGATGATGAGAATGAGATTCTGACCGCGCAGGTAATAGTTTCACCCACCCATATGATGAAACAGATTTTGCCAGAAACAGAGATAATAATCAGCACGTGAAAACCCAGATGCAGGAGAAACGGTCTCATCACCTTGGGTCTCAGGACATTCCTCCCTGCTCAGTGTTTATTGAGTCAGAGAACTAAAACTAAATGTGCTTGCTTATCCAACACCAAGAACACGAAGTAGGACAAAGAAGTAATGATTTGGCTTAAAAATAATTAGCACACTTCAAATTTTACCAGAAATATTTAAACAAACTGAAACAAGTACACAAGCTATAGGACAAAGCCAGAAATATACAAGGAAGGAAAATTAGGTTAAAACATTTTATGAATATACAAAATACCTGTTTTGTTGGATAGTAACTCTGTTGTACCTACTGTCAAAATTAATTCTCACAAATTCTTTATGAGATAGACATTATCTCAAATTTTATAGGTGAAGAATCTTCCTCAAATCATAACATTTTTAAATTGAAGGGTCTGAATTGGCTACCCACCAAAGTTTATAAATTCTGTTATATCAAACTACCTCTTTGGGATGTGTGAGAAGTTGAGATAGGATTAGGAAGAAACACATTCACAACAGAAAAAGTGCTGCCTTTGCTCTTTATCTTTTTGCTTTTTATGGTTCTGTTATTTTTCATGGGCAAATTTCCTCACCAACATCTCCAGCACAACGATGTATTAAAATGAGATGTGGAAAATCAGCAAGTGTAGGAACTGCGCACTGCATACAGGTGGAGCCAGCCCACAAACACCAGCACTCCTGGGGGAGTAGTAGAATCAAGTTTTCTCTTTCAAATAAAAAAAGTCAGAAATTTGCAGCAGTAGGCCTATTGTACTCAAAGCTGAGCTTTCAAACCTCCAAATCAACAATTAATATTTAAAGAAGAAATAAAAGTCAGGTCAGCAGCAAGCATCCTTTAGAAGCCATCCTAGAGACACTTTTTATTGACACTTTCATTTTGTTGACTCGTTTTTATGTACTTTTATTATAGAATACCTTTACTCATACACTCAAGAGCATCATTTCAAAACTCCTTTAAGAAAAAGATAAAAATTTCAGGCACGACTGAATATTTTACCAGTGTTCATTAGGACCCAAACAATAACGATGAGTTGATCTCAAGTGCAAGGTAAACACAGCTGCTACAGGGTGCACAGAAAATGTCACACGGGCTTCACATGAGAAAGAAAAGTACTTAATAAGTACTACTGTCCAGACACAGTCAATTTTGTCATTATTATGGAAAGTTTACATCCTGTGCACATTTAGAATTTCATCTTATCTTTGGCTTTACCATGTAATTTAAATACTTTCTAACACATCTTAGCATCAATGAGACACTCGCCTAGAAGGATGAACCTAGCCTCTCTGATCCAACAACTTACAAGGATGACATCACGGACATAAAGTTGGCATACTGTCATGAAGATGTATTTATTTAAGTCTTCCAATGCGCTGTGCCACACAGCTTGGAAGAGAAATAGGAAAACAATTAAGAACTGTAAGATAATATAGCAGAATTCAGCTAGACACTCACCAATTCTGTTTTCTTTTCCAGGATGCCAAAAACAACCACCACTTCCAGCCCCTTTGCAGGTAGTTTACGGCTAAGTCCGGAGATGCTGCTCAAAATGATGCAAGTAGAAAGCACATGCGTTACTTCCAGGCCATCCATCCAAATGACCTCCCAATCTTACTTTCTCTCTCTGAAAGCAAGTGACCCCTCCAATGAGGGTATGGATGCTGGCGCCACCACAAAATCAAAAAGGGCATAATTCTGGGGTTGCCACATGGAAGGCTACCTAACAAACACCCACTCACACTGTGACATAATTGAGAAATATATCACTTCCGAGTTAAACCATTGAGATTTGGTGTTAATTATCCTGACTAAAAAAGAAAGTCCAATCATTGAATGTAGGACAAATCAGATAAGTCTTTTTAACTCTTAATAGTGGTGAAGGAAAAGCAAAAACCAGGGTCCAGAAGTGACAGACAGGAACAAAAACATGAGCAAAGGAAAAGAAGAAAGGTTCACATTTATAAAAGGATTTTAGAAATCAAGTTGGTAGAGGATTTGTGTAGAGAGAGTTCAAGTTGGAAAAATTAATATGTTAGATAACAAAATTTGTAGTAGAAAGAACTTGGAACTAATCTCATAGAAAAAATAGTGACAAACTTTTTCTGTTAAGGGCCAGATATTAAATATTTTGGATGTAGAGGCCGGGGATATAGCTTAATAGTACAGCAACAGCCTAGTAAGAACAAAATCCTGAATTCAACTCCTGGCACCAAAAAAATAAATAGATAAATATTTTCGATTTGGTGCATCATACTATCTCTTTTGCACCTAACTCTGTCCTGTATACAAAAGTGTTCATAGACAATATATGAATGAATCAGTAAATCTATGCTCCAGGAAAACTGTGTTTATAGATGTTAAAATTTAAATTTCATGTAATTTTCATGCAAAAGGAAATAACAGTGCTTTTTTTTTAGGTTTTTGTAACCAATAAACATGTAAAAATCATTCCTCCCTCGCAAGCCACACAAAAGCAGTATAGTCAGACTTGGCCCATGGCCAGAGGCAGCCAAGCCTTGCTTTCAGAAATGAAGCACTACAACTGTTTTCTGCCTGGATGGGAACTGGGGTACCAATGGGAATTTGTTATGTGTCTCAACTAGGCAAAATGCATGCTTTTGTTTTTGCAGGAAAGAACCAGAGAAAAGAAGAGCCACTCTAATGTCAATGTAAAGGGTCTTAGATTATTTTGTTGATCAGGAAGGAAAAGATAGCATATTGATAAAAAAAAAGGCAACATCAAATTTAATTGGAGTATTTGGGGACCATATAATTGCAGATATATTTATATCAATAACTAAATTAGAGCATCCCAGAGAGACAGAGTTAGGCTAGGACATCAGATGCTAAAACAACAGACAGATTACTCTTCTATTAAAATCTCAAGCAATGTACATAATTCAGATTTCCAATTATATCTGTGTAGAAGTAATTTGTTCTGATGTCTCATAATTCTTTTCTAAAATAACGGTAAGTTGGAAAAATACAGAAGCTGACATACTAATTACCACGAGGATCTGAGGATTTTCACAAATTACAAATCTATGAAGTATACTAGGGAGAAAATAGGTACTTTACCTATGCATTAACTCTGTAGTTCAAAGACAGAGAAAATATTAATTAACCCTCTCATAAATATATGTTTAGTAGTGTGTTAGAATCCTATGATATGTTCCTGTTATTTTGGATAGATAGAAGATAGAGAAACAGAGACCAACACTGTATCTTTGTTCTCTCTAATAGAGCTTATGTTCTTTCGCTGAATAAAGCCAGATAGTAAATATGTTTGACTTCATGGAGCATAAGACCTTTCTGTAACTAGTCCTCTTTGCCATTGTAACATGGAAGCAGCTACACAAACATAAAAATCAGGCATAGCTATCATCCAGTAAAATTTTATTTTACAAAATTGGATGGTGGCTTATAGTTTATTGACCCTTGATCCATGGCACATGTGGATTTTGTTTGGTGTTGCTTTTGCCCGGGTAGCCTAAATAATCCCTCTGTCCTGATCATTCTCCAATTACCATCCCTGCCAATATCAACAGGACTTTCATGCACTCTCATACATCTTTAAATTTTCCCTTATTTTTTATTTCTATGGGATGGCTGCCTGACCTCACTATTCATAGTAGACAAATGTATATAGACAGAAAGCAGGTTGGTGAATGTCTAGGAGTGAGGATAGATAGTGAGTGAGGATAGATAGTGAATGTCTAGAAGTGCGGATAGATAAGAGTGAGGATAGACAGAGGTCATGATGGGAAGATGATGACTAAAAGTGTAGGATTTTGCTTCAGATTGATTCTGAAATTGTAGTGAGGACTGCATAACTCTACAAATACATGAAAGACTATTAAATCTTATGCTTAAATTTGTTGAATTGTATGATATATAAATTATACTTCAATAAAACTATTATGCAAAAAACATAACTATGAGCTATCTTGTAAAGGCACAGTTAGATTTTAAAGACAAAGATTTACCAAAGATCAGCAAGCAAAAGGAAAGAAGTTAGTACATTAATTTTAGAGGGATTTAAGGTAAAATAAAATTAAGTGAATTAAACAAGATCATTTTACTAGTAAAATAGATATAAACCACCTTGAAGAGATAAAAGTTACTAATATTTGTGCTTAATCACAGTTTTAAAATAGATGAGGTAAGGGACTGGGGATATAGCTCAGTGGCATGAGCACCTGCCTGGCAAGCTCAACGTAGTGAGTTTGATTCCCAGTACCATAAAAAAAAAAAAAAAAAATAGATGAGGTAAAAAGATTATAAGAAAATAGCAATAGAACCATAGTTCCTAAAGAAAAGTGTTCCAGGGAAAGTATAGGAAATAACAGAAATTTCACAATAATAATATAGGTATTTGAATGATATATCACAAGATAGACTTTTTCAAAGTATCCATCAAATACTTACACATATTAAAATGATAACAGCAAAAACTCTTAATGAGAACTTGGAAGCATAAACTATGCAGGCTACTTTCTCTAACAACAGTAAGCTAAAATTCAAAATCACTACTATTTTAAATGAAACAGAACATTTTGAAAATTACAAATTATTGTGATAATTATTTATGAAGGCTGTTCTGTTCCAAACCTTAAGACTTTATTTCCAAAATCTATACTCTTTCTTACAAAAATGTTTTCTAATGGCTCCAGCCAACTGACCTCTTTCTCCTCAGATCTCCTGTTGTTTAGTGCAGTTCACAAGATAATTAACTTGATATGCGATTTTGTTTTCTGATTCATGCAGGTAAGTGCCTTAAGGACAGAGATATTGCAATAAATTTCTTTATTGTCACTGCACTTAAGTATCATCCAGAACAGAGAAATTCCTCCACAAATGTTATTAATTAATTTCATCGTATAATTAAGAAAGAAGTGAACTGCACACTAAGGGACGCAAGTTTTTGACTGTTACTCGAAAGGCTTTATGATTCTCAGCATGTCACTTTACCTCCCTAGATTTTCATATCCTCCTTCATTAACTGAATTAGTATTAAAATATTTCTAAGCATCTCTCTAGTTCTAAAATTATGTGACTGAACTTGGGAAAAAAAGATATCCTACACTATTCCAGAAAATTCCCCTACCTGTCCAGAAACACTGGTTTCTTTGAATGTCAGGACTCAAACAGACTGTGTGTTGTGGAGACGAGAATCGCCTTCAATTACTCATCAGTGGTGGAATGTTGTGCGGTTTACACTCACTAACCCAGGTTTCCCTGCGGCCACCCACCCAGGTCCTGAGGGATAGCCATGTGTCTGAGTGTGTGTGTATTTTTGCCTCTCTGACGACATTCCAAGACTAATATAAACAGCTTTTAAATTATCCATTACTCTGTCACTTCACTCTTTCATTAGAAAGAGGTTAGCCTCTATTTACATTTGAAGTTCTAATAGTCCACGCTTTCCAGCACCCTTCTATTTCTTCAAAAGTGATTTCTTCATTTTTCCTAAATGTGGCTCACATCTTGAATATTTCTTTACAATTATGTTTTGGCAATAGCATTCTATGCTTAAAATTTAACATCACATTATATTAAACCATGTATTATAATTATGTAACAGTGAATCATTTAATTAACATTTAATAAAATTTAGTATGCACACATATATTGAATTAGTATTCTTTAATGAATAGCAAAAGAGCGCAAAGAATGTATACCGAGAGATTAACAATAGAGGTGAGATTATGTGTGATTTTCATTTTTTCTCTGTCTCTCTATTTTTTTGGATTGATAAATAATAATTATATGTGCATATATCCACGTATTCCTCTCAATTACCTGAGCCAAAGTCGAAGAGACTGCTGTATAACTCTATTTTTTCCATTTTACTGTAAGAGGGAATGACTATTGATAACATTTAAAAGTTTAGATAAATATATCTAAATGTACTCTAAAAACAGGTATCTTAATATATGAGTGAGTTCAAGTTATTGATAGCAACCTTTAAATTAAAATTAATTTTTTCTTGTGACAGGGTCAAAATATGTTCATTTTCCACATAGTTTTCCTCTTAAAATGAGAAAGTAGAACAATAGACTTGAGCAAGATTTTAAGTTATCTTGGGAAAAATAAAAACTTACAGTTCACCAGAAACTCAATTAGTCAGAACATATTCTCTAAACATCCATTAGTCAGGCAAGTTCTTTCAAGGCCTTGTACAGAAGCTTTATAAAAAAAAATTATAAAAACCCATCAACAATGCTAATTATTTGTATGTATAAACTGAATAATCAAGTCCATCCCCATATTAAAACAGAATCTAAATTGATGTAGTCTTACCAAGACTTTACATGACCATAAACCATCCCTTTATTCTATTGCTAAACTTAAATTAACCCATCCAATAAAGCTTGTTTTACTGGGCCTGCTTTCATAAAACATTCACATTTTATCATATAGAAAAGTTCAAATTTATGCTAAATACTTCATTATTTCCCTAAAGGTCAATCTGAGTAAATCATGTAGTAAATGATGTAGCAAAGTGTATTATTCTAAAATGAAATTCCTTCAAATGTATTAAGAATCTCTAACATTGATAAGCTAATGAATGTGATGCTTTCATTGAATACTGCAGTGTTACTAAGGCTAACAACCTAATTCTCTGTCATTCCTGTCAATTCCTATTAGGTACAAGACAAGTACATGGTGTCTATCAGACTGGGGATTCATTTCTACTTAGCATATAAGAAGCTTCTATCATTCTACCTTAAAAATTATTGAATTTGCCTTGGGATATTTTATTAGACAGTGATGGACCTTCATTAACAAGAAGACAGACTCTCTAACTTGCTTCCAAAACTTTCTCAATCAACTTAATCATTTGAGAGACCAAGTTGTCAAATACATTTTACTTAGAATTAAAATCCTTGCATTTCTACTGTAATTTATTTCCAAGGCTTCGGGTGGTAGGAAGGAAAATGGGTTTATTTTGCAACTATAACGAATTACCTCAAAGTTAGCAATTTAAGATAATGCCCACTTATTAGCTCAGAGTTTTGCCAGTCAGAGCCCGGAGAAGTTCCACTAGATTTTATAGTCAAACTCTCACAAAGCCAAAACAAGGTAGCACACTAGAAGATTTCTTATCTGGAGGCTCTGAAAAAAAAAAAAAAATAGTAGCTTCCAAGTTCACTAAAGTGACAGACAAAATTCATGTCCTCAAGAATACCAGAGGGACTCCCTTTCCTAGTATTCTGGCTTTCCCAGGCATGGGTAAATTCCTGTCTGCATTTGTGGGCAGGGCCTGGGGCAGCTGAACCAGAGGTCACAGAGCTGTCAGAACAAAGTCAAAGTCTCTCCACTCCCCCCTGTTACACCATCAAAGGTGATATGCACAGCTTTAAAAGGCACTGAAAGAATTTCCCTATTCTGATTACTAGAGATGATAGAGCAGACAGAAAATAGCAAGGTCAGCATGTTGAAGAGAAACCCAGTGGTGTGTCGGGATGAGCTGAGGACAGACAAGGAAGTTGCAGAAGGTCTTGGCAGGATGTTTTCCCCTGTTTTTCCCCTCCTAAGAAATCCTGCAGAGCAGAGAGAGAAACAGGAGGTCTGAGAGCTTCTAGAAGTTTCTTATCTGTAGGTGAGTCATTGTAACACATTTCATCATTTGACAATTGTTCCCCAAACATGGCCCTATCCCAAAATGACTGTTGTTGTATACTGTCTGACTTGTAGAATACACCAGAATGGGGATGGTGGCATACAAGTGCTAAACTAAATTTGGTCTGAGTCTATCTCCTTTCTTTGAATCCCTATGAAAGAAGCTGCAATGTAAGTTAGCTCAGAAATAAACCCAAACCTAAATGAGGTGCATATTTTTTTTCTAATAGCCAGATTTCTGCCAATCACGAGCAACTGAGCTTTAGCCAGTTACAGATGCAAACTGCTGAAACCCTGTTCAAAAAAGGCAAAAGCCAGCGGTAACCCATGGAGGTATGTGTGTACTTTACTTCCCTATTCACTGCCCATGGTTTGAACAGAGCTCTCTTCTGATTCATGAATCATCCTTTGCTCAAATAAACTCTGCTAAGTCTAAATTGTCTAAGGTTTTTCTCTTAAAAGACCTCACTCCTCACTTACCAGAATTTTGTAGAAGAAGATTGTGTACTCAGTGGCAGACTTGCTTCCCGCTAGAGGGTGAAGGACAGTGAGGGGTTTGGGTTGCATTGATGGAGAAGGAAGGTATGAGGGCCTGGGAAGCTGAGGAGCAGGTTCTGGCTAAATACCAGAAAGACACAGAGGCCTGTGGCTTCCTTCTGATAGTTGGTGGTAAGTAGACACTGGGATCATCACGCTGTACTCTGTTAGTGTTTTAAAATGAGTGGTACACTACATCTGGGCATTTATGTTTAAAAAGCTCACTGGAGCAGGAAAAGATAAGGAAGCACACAAAGATTAATTCTGAACTTCTTGTTAAAACCAAACACTTTACTCCTAGAAAAGAAGGGAGTGGAACTCTTCCTCTCCTACACTCATTACCAAAGGTGGATGTACCCCTGGCAGGAAGAGGGGCCAGGGATGCATTTACCACACTTCCTTCTCCACTCAGTGCACCCACTGCAGCCTCTTGATCTCTCCTACCTCAGCAGACATTCATTGGGAACAGCTAGCTACAAGGATTTTGAGGTCAAATTGTTGAATCAAAAGAAACAAATTAGGAAAAACCTGTTGCAAAAATGTAGGGAGCAGTGTTTATTTCTCAGCATTTATAATGTTTTCATGTCATAAGCTATAAATGAAAAAATAAAAAACAGATAATAGGAGAATGGGGGCCGGGTATTTAGCTCAGCGGCACAGCACCTGCCTGACAAGAGTGAGGTTGGGAGTTCCATTCTGGATATAAAAAAAAAGAGAGAGAGAATGGGCCATGGAACCTCCTTGAAGACTAAATGTAGGCCACATGTTCAAGACTGTTTAATGCATCATACCCATCATTTAAATAGTGTGCATCTTTTCTAGGGTTTTTGTTCAGTATCCATTACGTTACACAGCCAATATATCCTCAGCTGGGGAAAAAAAAATGTATCGAGGGAATTCGTGTCGTCTTATATTCTTATTAACTGAATCAGGAAAGAACAAAGTAAGAAGAAAAAAGAAGAGAGAGATGGAGAAAGGGATGGGTGAAAAGAAGAAAGGAAGGACAAATTGGGGACATTTTTGGAGACAGGTAGGTCACATAGGGGAATTAGAAAGACAAACATTGATGGCTCTTCACCACTCACATTTGATAAGTCCATACACATTTTTTTATAGGCATCTGACAGTGAAAAGCTTTGGCCCACAACACAACCTTTGTGTAGTCAAACTCTAAGCAAAAAGTTTGCCTTGTATCAGTTGTTAAATTCTGAAGCAGACTTTGGAAAGAGCTCCCCACTCAGACAACTATGTAGAAATGTTAGATAGAAAACCCTTTTTAGAGCAGTGAAAGACAAGTAGTCCATCTAGGGCTTTCCTGAATGGTTTTCCTACAGTTAAATATGGCCTAAGAGAAATTACGATAAATCATTTATAGTAGCTCAAAGCCAGTGGGCCTCTAATATTGTTCAGACTGAATAACTGACCCCCTAGTATTTGTTTTTTTGTTTTGTTTTGTTTTGTTTTTAGAAATAAAAGGAGGAAAATATTAACGGACCGACAACATTTTACAAAATAGCATAGTATCAGTACAGACATTACAGAGTTACAAACAGAGTGGGAGGGAATTAACAATGCTTATTGTATTACATATTGATACCTTCAATGTAGTTTCTCATGAAAACACATATAGACATACAAAGCTAATCGACCAATGCCTCACTGACAGTTAATGTGAGGCTTTATTTAGAAGTAGGCTGCTCTTTGTCCCAGTTGAACACTAACTGCCAGGTAATCATTGTAACAAAATCAGTCTAGGCTGCTATCAGCTTCATGTGCAGCTGACAGGGTCCTTTGAGGGGAGAGATAGAGAGGTGCCTACGCTTGTTTCTGCTGTCAGCAAGTTCTAGAGAAGATAAGGTAAAGCCTTGATGTACTACCAATTTGAGGATATCTGCCCCAAATTTAGGTTGAGAAAGAGGATAATTAAGACAAATTACAGGAACGTAATTACTCAGAGCTGCTAAGAAAAGACTCAGAATATATTTAAGTAAATTATGGAAGTAATGAAATAGAGTAACATTCTCCCCAGAACTAACCTGAGGCTTTGTCTACATTTACAATGGCAAATCCATAGAATATCTGTTGCTATTCCACTTATCTTCTTACACCAACTGTATACACATCGGTGCTTTTCATGTAGCTCAGATGTTTTCTCTCTTTTGTGCCTCAGGTTCTCAGTTTTGAAGAATAATATCCTTTCTAGGTCATTGTAGCACCTTGTGTTGACGGGGAAGTTCCAGAAACAGATTCTTCAGTGAGTGAGTAGTTTCCAAGAATTCTAGAATGCAATGTTGCTGGAAGCCTGGCTCTGATGGTCCATTAAGAAAACGTGAAAAAGCTGTTTATCTTTATTCACGACTTTTCATTCTAGAATGTGGGCAATGTTCTTTGCAATGAAAACGAGACATTTAACATTTATGCTTCTCAACTGACACCCAGTGAAGAAAAGTGCATACCAACGAATGGAAAGGATCTGTTTAGAGACAAAAAAAGCATTAAAATGAGATCTGTTGAACTTTATTCTGACCTGTAGCTACATAAATGGAAGGTTTGCAAACATCCCTACCATAACCAACCTAGAAAGACTATTCAACTCAGTAGTTGACTTAGAACCTGGAAAAATGAACTACAAAGGCCTTAAGCTAAATGCTGCTTCAAATGTATTCTTCACTATGAAAAAGGAACTGCCTTGGCAGGAGTACTCATTTTTGAGCTGGAGATAGAAGCAAGGGATTCATGCAGTCCAGGCAAGTGTTCCACCATGAGCCAAATTCATGGCCCTACCAATGTTCTTTCTACTGACTTTAGAAAAGGCAGATTCTCCACCCTTTAGTACCTTTTACCTTAAATCTCACCCTCAATATTAAAACTTCATGTCTCATGACCCTTATAGAATTTAATTCAGAATAGAAACTTTTGCTATAGAAAAATAAATGAATAGAAAATAAAAATGACAAATTGACCTAAAGTTCTAGGTTACTAGTGGACAAACTATTGCCATGAAGAAGTACAAACACAGGAAAATATGAATGAGAAGCTTGATTGAACGTGATGATGTAAATACATGCCATTATGGTGGCAGCTTCCTTGGTCAGGGACCTTGCAGAAATTACCATACCTTTCCAAGCTCAAATGCATTAAGAAAATTTTTCTATACTTTATGGACTCTAGTAGGCCCCAAGACAAAATTATGGTACAAAGTTATCCTTTGCTCTGGATTGTGTACAATCTAAAGAAAACACAGAGACACCTAGTGCACATTTGTAGTAAGGATAGAGACCATCTCTCTCACAACTTTGCTTTGTTTATGTGAATGTGCTTCACAAACTGTTATAAAATATCTATGTATACCATTTGTTTATTTATTGAGCACCTACTACATGCAGATATAGTCATACAACAATCATGCTGTCAAATGTAATGAGCTATGATATCTACTTAAAGATAAATAAATTGGATTTCAGAGAAGTTAAATGTCTTGTCCTATATGACAGCTTCTAAGAAACTGCAGGAATAAGGTTTAGAGCTGGGTCCAATGAAAAGACTCATTAAAAGAAATAGGCAACTGAAATGGGTAAACATGTCTCAGAAGAAGTATTAATGGCCAATAAATACATGAAAAAATGTTCAATGCCTCTGACTATTACAGAAATGTAAGTTAAAACAACACTGAGATTCCATATTACTCCAAAAGAATGGCCATCATCAAGGAATCATATAGTAATGAAGGCTGGAGAGGCTGAAGATAAAATGAACCCTTCCACACTGCAGATGTAAACTAGTACAACCACTGTGCAGATCAGTGCAAAGATTCATCAAAAACTTAAATAGAAATTCCACTTCACTCAGCTATTCCCCTTCCAGATATTCTCCCAAAAGAGGTAAAGATAATATTCTACAGTGACATATGGCCCATATTTATAGCAACACAATTCATAGCACCTAATCTTAGAAACAGCCTATCTGCCCATCAACAAATGAATGGATAAAGAAAATGCAGTATTTATACACTATGGAATACTATTCTCCCATAATGAATGAACTTGGGTCATTTACAGGAAAATGTACATACTTTCAGACCATAATGTTAGGGGAAATAAATCAGACACATGACTTTAAAGACCTCATGGTTTGTTTTATATGAAAAAACCAAAATATAAATAAAGAGCAAAATAAAAGATAGATCATTGGAGACAGAGAGATAGATCTTTTTCAAAAAGTAAGAGGACCACAAGATGAAGGGAGAGGGGAGAGAAGGTGATAAAAAAAATTAAGATGCTTTGTGTCCATGTAGCAACTCCCTATGAAGAATGGAATCATTATGCAAACATGGACTAATAAAAATAAAAACTGAGGGGCCAGGGATGTAGCTCAGCAGTGTAGTGCTGGCCTGGCAAAAGTGAGATCCTGAATTCAATACCCAGTGCCCCCTAAAAATGAAAAAAAATAAATAAATAAATGAGCAATAGAAAAATGTCCTGTCACTTGCCAATGTTCTACAGTGCCTCTTGCATGCTTCTAGTAGTAAGAATGAAGTGGTGTTCAGAGGGAATACACCGTCTCAAGTCCTTGATCGGCAACTCATAGTGGAGATTCCTCCAGCAGTCACTTCCAACCGTGGTCTGTGTAGAATCTAATTTGGCAGGAGAGCCTGGTAAGAGGCTGCTGAAATTACACTGGTAAGAATTACTCCCTCCTCCTACAGAGTAGACCTAGCTTTCTGACCAGTTCAAACAGTGTAGCACAGGAAAAATACAAACTGCAGGTACATAGCTGCAGAATTTCTTCTGACCACATCCTCTTCCCTCACTCTCCGGTTAAACATCAATATTAGTATTTGTCATTTTTCTTTTTATGCGATGTTTCATTCATGAGATTTAGGAACATGGTTATTCGCTAATCCAGAAACTAGTTTCCTTTGTTTTAACAACAAAAGCCATCAGCAATTCAGATAAGAAGAGAAAGGGGCAAAACTTAATAGCAGGAAAAATGTTTGCCAAAGCTGGAACTAGGAAGCAGAGGTAATAGCAACTTAGGAACTGAGAATAATGTGCAAATCAAGAAAGAGTGGGTAAAAACACAAGAATTCTTGCTTCCAATGTAGGGAAGAGGGGGACCTCCAGAGTTGGACATGGAGTAGAAGTGTTGTCTCAAAAGCAAAGAAAATAAATTGGTTTTGCTTGAGAATAAATCTCTGCTATAAGGAAATAGTGGAAGATGCTAGGGAGAATGAATTTCTATTTACTTGCTCATTTGCCACATGCATCTGAGCATCTTCCATGTCCTAGAACGTGTGGTGGTTATAAAACTGAAAGAATTAATTTAGTGGAGACAAAAATAGAAAGGTTGAAGGGTAGATGGTAGATATAGTTGGAAGATATTCTCATATGAGGAAAACATGTAAATTAATCATTGAAAAGAGAAAGCCAAAAGAACGGTCTAGAAATGATAAGCAGGAATTTGAGTCCCAAAAGACCACATTAGAACAACTGGGATGGATAGGTGGAGTGGGATAGGACCACAGTTGAGGCAGCCTTGAGAGGTGGAATTCTTAGTAATTATATCTAAAGACTTATATCAACCATCACTTATCATCTCTTATATACTGGGAAGACTAGCACTTCAATACATACTTCTTCCAATCACGTTATGATGTAATATTATTTTTACAGAGGAGGGGATTGAATTCAAGAACAAGCAACTCTCCAAAAGTCACAAACAAATGGCAGACACAGCTGAGGTTCAAGCCTTGTGAATCTTAAGCCTGATATATCAACTTCATCAGATTGCAAAATGCCTAGTAGATTACTAAGGAATGCTCCTGGGCCATAGAGGCGTGGCCTTGGTACTTTTTATGATCCCAGGAAGATTCCGCTCAGTCTCCCTGTGCTCGGTTTCCCTGCTTTGCTCTGGCGCCTCCTCGCATGATGTCTCTACCATGGAGCCCCCAGCACAGACAGAAACTATGAGTAAATTAAAGCTCTCCCTGTCAAAACTGTAGGTGTTGGGCCTTATGGTTAGGGAATGGGATAGTTAACTAACACATATAAAGGTATATTTCTATGATACTTGTAAGTGTAGAAAAGTTGTGTGATTCCTCTTCTTACTCATCACATGGGCCACAGCTAACACTGCTATGACACAAGACAGGGTAACAAGAGAAAAGAACACAAGGTTAATGTAGTCAAAGTTTTACTGACAGGAGACATCAGAAATGAAGACCTAAAGATTCAGGAAAAACTGCCTGTTTTTATGCCGACATTTGATGAACAAATAACCAGGTAGAAATGTGATTAGACACAAAGGTGTGGTCTAACAGTAACAGACTGAGGAGGAACCCAGAATGTCTGCCTGTTCAAATTCTCCTTGGCCCCTCGGAGTAGCATTTCTGTCACTTGGAATGAGGGTCTTAAAATAGGGAAAAGTGGACTTTGTTGGCTTCATGGCTTACTCAGGAGAGAGGGGCTCTTTTTTCTCTGACCCACCTTGGGGAAGAGAAATTTGGGTTTCTATAAATTGCTTTACTGGAGAAAGCTGAGGAAGACACAGAAAGGAAGGAGAAAGAAGGCCAAAGAGACCTTGTTTGTGAGCCTGCTTCTGAGCCCTTCCAACCTCCTGTGGTTCACAGTATCAGCTCGCCAACTGTCATACTCTTGGGCAGCATGTTTTGAGCCCCAACATCATGCTACTACTATCTCTTGAAACATCCTGACATTTGTCTTGCAAAGAGAAGAAAATTACTTGAGCATTTTTGACCCCTCTACAATTTCTAAGATGTTCTTGGACCTCTCCTTTTCTGAGCAGGATTTAGCACAGGTCATCCTTTCTTCCTCCTTGGGAGACTTCATTTGTCTCCATAACGAAATGCTGTCTGGATCTCTCATGCACTTTGCCTTCTCTATTCTCTTTGGAGGAGTCTCTTCCCCTCCAGTGTCAGGGTGACCCAATACTTCTCTGCTCACTTTTGTCTCCACCAACACTCATTCCCATTGGTGATTTTGTCCAACCTCACTGACTTTAGTGTTTAAAAGTAAATGTTGTTTATTTAAGGTTTACAGCATAGTATTATAGAATACATACACAATAGTAACTTGCTTACTGTAGTAAAAGGTTAATATATCTATAATCTCATATACTTCCTCTTTTTTTATTTTAAAGAGAAAAAAATGAAACTGAATTTCAAAGCAAAATAATATGAGAGCAACAATAATTAATACATTGGGTACTGTTGTCTTCAAAATAGTTACCAGAGTACAAGATATAGGCATGAAATATTGTCCAAACAATATTAGCACAAACCTTTCTTTTCAGTGAACTAAGAGAAACTAGCAGTATAACTATCTTAACCATTATATGTATATATAGATATACATATATTTTCCTTTTCCTTTCCTTCTTTTCCCCTTTCTGCCATCACAGTAAGAAGCTGAGCAAGTAAATAAGCTCCAAAATGTACAATAGATATTGTGAATT